CATTGTATTTAAATGTAATATGTGGATTGCACAGCAATTCGGAAATAGCTGGTACTTTTTATGGTCCTTTTTAAAGAGAGAGATGATAATTAAAATAAGTAATAAAGTAAATTGAGCAGGATAAAAATATGATCACATATAACATTACCTTCTACATTTGGCTTATGAGTGGGAATTTGGCTCAAGGAAAATATATGCCAGATTCCGTGCATTCTACAATGGAAATGATTCAGTAGAATTTATTAATTATTGCTATTGTGATTGTATCCTTGTACAAAGATTAGGTCCCCATTGTACTGAGCACTGTACAAACAAATAATACAAAAACAGTCCCTGCCCTAGAGAGCTCACAATTTAAGATTTAGACAATATGTAACAGGTAAATAAACAAAAAAATTGGAAGGATGGAGGTGGGAGAAAAAGGTAAGAGTAGAGATGGATATATTGCCTAAGTTAGTAAGTACAGTAGTCACAGGTGGTTGCCAGATGGTAGTGATTGTTACTGTGATGCCTACAACACACACTATGTAAGTTGTTTAGTCCTCTGTGATGGCTAGTGTTCTGCAGAATTCATACCTCCTGACTTTCTCAGGGTGCTCTTTGATGGGGTGTACAGATGTTATACACTATGAAGATAAAGAAGGGGTTGGTGCAGGATCAAAGAGACACAATGGAAGTGGTTCAGTTAAGCACACCTGCAGCTACGTAAAAGACTTCTGCTTGGAAGTCTGAGCTTGGAAGATAGGGTACTAAGGAAAAGAAGAAAGCTCTCCCTAGGAGCCTTGAGGAAAAGGCTCAAGAAGCTGTAAGCCAACAGATCCTGGCAATGGCTGAATCTGTGGAAGATAAATAGTCTTGTGTGCAGTGTTGTTATAGCAGTGTCAGTCCCCCCAAAACCTCCCCCAGCTTTGCAACCATCTCCCCCGCTTGCACTATGTCAGGGTCAGGTACAGCCTCACCCCGAGTCTGCGTCCCGGAGGGGAACAGGGGCTGCAGGGTGATCTCCCACCTCTGTGCAGTCAGTCGCCTGTGCTCCCCACTGCCATGCTGGAGCCTGCACATTTATTTACTGACAAATAAAATTTTCAGAATTTGGCAGAATTTTTAAATTTGCGCAGAATTTATTTTTGGTGCAGATTTTTTTTTTATTCAGAATTCCCTCATGAGTAGGTGTTTTTATCTTTTATCATTTTCCTGTATGAATTCATTCGAGAACAAAGTGACTGTCTGGTTTTATCCATATAGTTGTTCTTGGGGCATTTAGTGCACTGGATGAGTACCCACATGTTGTGGTAGGCCTGTGTAGGACAAATGTATCTGGAAAGGTGTGTTGTGGGGGGTGTTGATCATTGTAACAGTGGAAATATGTCTGCAGGTTTTGCATCTGTTGTTCTGGCAGGGTCTGGAGCTGCTTTGAGTTGGTGAGTCCTGCTCTATAGGGAGTCTTGGCAGACAACTGGTATCTCTGTACGCTGATTAGTGGTTTTCACTAGAATTAGTTGAAATACACCATCCTCTGATCTTTCTTTTGGAGTGAGGTACAATAAGCCCTTGCAGAACTTTTTGTTCTGACTTTTGAAATGGAAGAAAACTGGACAGTGGGATGAACCATTGAAGAACCACCTTCCATACCCTTTTCACCCACACACGAAAAAAAAAACATTAAGAAATCCACTCTGTGAACCTGAATAAAGACCTACTGGGACTCCTTAAACAGCTGGGGCCGACTGAGGACTGAGAGAGAGAGAGAGAGACAGACAAACACACACACTCTAGATAAGATCCAATCATAGCCCCTTCCTGGGATTTGCTGTATTAAAAATTTAAATCCCAACAAATGTAAACTTCTTGCCCGAGCTTACTCCTGAATGTGGCTATTTCTATGGTTGTTCCCTATAGGCCCCTTTTGTCCTGGGCTCCTTCTGTTTTAGCAGGACACTCAGAGTTTCCAGGGTTAGAGGTAACAGACCTCATTTGGTCTGGCTGTCAATAAGGCTAGGTATTTTCCCTGTTTCTTAGATGAAGGAATTGAAAGTAAGCAGCTTGCTTAAGGACACACAAAGTCAATGGCAGAACCAGGATTAGGACATGAGCCTTTCAAGATTTCAATTCTACGTTCAATCAACTAGACCACAATGTGTCAGCATGTGGATACTTGCCTTGCACTTATATGTCAAAGGTTTCTTTCCTGGAGAGGATTCCAGTGTCTAGGGGCTGATCTACATTGGCAGCACTTTGCCACTGTAGCTCTACTGGTATATATGGGGGTGGGATAGCTCAGTGGTTTGAGCATTGGCCTGCTAAACCCAGAGTTGTGAGTTTAATCCTTGAAGGGGCCACCCAGGGATCTGGGGCAAAATCAGTACTTGGTCCTGTTAGTGAAGGCAGGGGGCTGGACTTGATGATCTTTCAAGGTCCCTTCCAGTTCTAGGAGATAGGATATCTCCATTAATTTATTTTATTTTAAATTTATATTATACTGGCAAGGTGTCCCATTATGGATGTGCCTTATACCCACAAAACTGTTCTTTTGCTGACATAGCCTATTCAAGCCACTCTGGCACTCCTGAGCAAAATAATCTATATTAAACACACAATTTTTGTGGTATAACTGTTTTTAGACTAGGAGGTTTTGCTGGCACAGCTATGTGGATCACAGATCACATCTTGGCCTGGTCTACACTACAACGTTAGGTCGATGTAAGTCACCTTGCATTGACCTCATTGTGTCAACACTCAAATTTGTCTCCTTCTGATGTAAGCACCCATTTTGGTGACACATAAGACCACCTCCCCAAATGGCATTGAGCCAGGGTCGACGTAGTGTGGTCGTTGCAGTGTAAGTGTAGAACCCACGTGGCATAATGTCAATGTTAACAGTCCTCTAACAGCTGTCTCAGAATGCCTAACACTTACCATTCCGGTTACAGCTGTGAACTCCACTGCCCAGGAGTCACAGAGGCTGAAAGTTGTTCCCCCTCCCCCGCCCTCACCCTTTTCTCTGACTCCAGTTTAGTGAGCACATCCAGCAGCTCTCCTTTTTTATGCAACTGACTATGCTGGCTACAGGCTCCACATGCTCTTCTCTGGAGTAGATTATGAGGTATTGGATCTCTTGGGTCTGTGGGGAAAAAAGACTGTGCAGGCACAGCCATGGAGCAGTCATAGAAACGTGACATCTATAAGCTGATTGCATGGTGGATACAGGTAAAGTGGTACAACAGGGATCAACAGCAGTGCTGTGTGAAAGCAAAGGAACTGCAGCAGGCATACCAGAAGGCCTCATCACATTACAGTGACTATTAAAGTGCACTTTCAAGACCTCCCTCAGCTGCATATCTCCGTGTTGAGCTCTTCTAATAGCCCCTGTGTCTCTCTGTGCAAACTCTGCAGACAGCTGCTCCACCTCTGCTCTCCACTCCAGCGACAGCTTTTCCCTCTTGGGTCCTGCATATTATCTGTGAGGCAAACAGGCAGCTATAACCTTTGGGATATTTTTCTTACTGAGATCCAATCTTGTGTAAACAACGCCAGCGTCCCTTCACTCTACTAAAAGGACATTCAGCAGTCATTCTGCACCTGGTGAGCCAGTAGTTAAATCTTTCCTTGGTGCTGTCGGGGTTGCTTCTGTATGGCTTCATGAGCCAGGAATCACTATTGGCATTTCAGCATTGCTATTGGTAATCTGCTGGTTGGGAGAGAATGTGCCTGTTTGCAGCTTTCTGAACAGTCTGTGTTCTTAAAGATGCAAACATCAAACACCTTCCCTGCCTGGTCAATACTGATGTCAGTGAAACATTCCCTGTGATCTACCAATGCTTGCATATCTATAGAAAAGTAGCCATTTCTGTTGATGATACTCTGTGGCAAGGTGGGCAGGGATATGGCACCATCTTTCGCCCCATCACACTTTGGGAATCCCATTGCTGCAAATCCATCCACTATGTCCTGCCCGGTGCTGAGGGTCACAATCCTGCAGAGCCGGAGACAACAGCATGACACACTTGCATGACAACAGCCCTCACTGTGGATTTTCCAACTCCAAAATGATTTCCCATTGACCAATAGCAATTTGACATTGCAAGTTTCCACAGTGTGATCGCCACTCGCTTCTCCACTGTCAGTGCAACTCTCATTTTGGTCCCAGGGCTGGGGTGAGGTTCACACACAGATCCAGGAATGTGGCCTTTCACATCCAAATGTTCTTCAGCCACTGCTCATCGTCCCAAACCTGCATTATGATGTGATTCCACCAGTCAATGTACATTTCTCAGACCCAGAAGTGGTGCTCCCCTATCTGCACTGCTCCATAAATACCAACAACAACCTTGAACTGGTTTTCACTATGTCCCACAGCAATATGTCCTCCACAAAATCATCATGTTGCATGGGTTTGTGGGATTTAAAAAAAAGACATGAAGATTATGGGATTGAGAAAGTTGCAGATGGAAACTTGAGCCCTTGCTCCCAGTTACCGCTGCGTGACTCATTTCTGCCCCATCATGCATGGCCACTGTTTCCCAGAAGACAGTGCGTTGGACTATTGTGAGTTGCATACTGTGATACCTACTCATAACACAGACGCTCCAGGTGAATACGGCAGTGCCAACGCAAGGAACCATGTGTGCACGCACATAAGTGATATACTAACAGTGGCAGCTTCATACCAACGCAACTAGTGTTGAGCAAAGTTTGTTGTGTAGACATGGCCCTTGTTGCACCACTGACCAACATAGTTATGCTGGCAAAAGTTTGTAGGGTGGGCCTGGCCCATATATTTCAGAAAAGTAACTAAAGAAACAAAACAAAAAACTGCCTTCTTCATTTAGTAAAGAATGCATTTATTTTCTAGGAATGATTGCATTCAATTTAATGTTGGCATCTAGCACATGGCAACAGTTATATGACAATGTGAATTGAATTCCTTTGTGCTAAGACAGGAGCATAATATTAATGAAATCTAAAGGCTCTGTGACTAACATTAAATTATTTTTTTTCAGGTTTATTGCCCAAATTCATGATGAATTGTTGTTTGAAGTGGAAGATTCTCAAATTCAGGAATTTTCAGGTTAGTACAGTCTAAAACTTTTTTCATTTCTTTTCTTATCAGAATACTTTCAATTTGTGAGTATAAAAAGTTGGCACAAGAGCAGGAACCATATTTCTCTTCATGATTTACAAAACATGTACAGTGCAGACTTTTTTGAGGTTTTTCCAACACCGTCTACGTGATACACAAAATCTTATATACTGCAGCTTATCTGGAATTAATCAAAACACCACTGATTTGAATGAATGAACCCTGAGAAGAAAAATAAAAACAGCGTGGAGCCTAAAAACAGTAAAATAGTAACCGTTTCTATAATGGTTCAGAAGACCTGAAAAGAAAAGGGAAAAAATAAGTCTGAAAGCAGTTATTTAAATAGAAGAATGAACAAAAATGGTTGAAATTTCCAAGAAATATAAGGTTAAATAGTAAGATTGACCCAATGCAAAAGAAATACTGAAATCCTTAATGTAGTTAGTGCCTATTCGTTTCCTGCTTTTTTTCTGCTTTTTTTTACACTGAGAACTTTATGATGGATCTTCCAGGCTAAGGATCAGTTGAGTTCCTGCCTAAATTTGTATCCTGTAACCTGGCATACTTCCAAGCATTGCTTCTGCATCTGGTTCAGATTTAGCTAGCCAAGAAGGGCACTCATGAGGCTGCAGGGTCTCTTCTCCAATGAGAAGTGGTGAAATTATTTCTGTGAGGCACTAAATGTTTGTTCACAATCTTCAATCTAGTTTGAAGCTGAACAATACCCTTGGCTAAGATAATCAGTATAAGGTTATGAGTCGTTTCTATTAATTGGCACAAGAAATATTTTCCACTGTAACCTAAGCATCCCAAATAAAAATGAAGTTAACCTTTCTCTGTTGTGTTAATTTAACCAATGTAATTTGCTTTATGAGTCTCACTTCATCATGATTCCCCTTATGAGTATTAGTTCATAAGGAGAACAGAGACTGTCCACCTAATCAAAACAAAGAACATAAGAAATATTTAAGCTCACTTTATGGGGGCAATGTAATGAATTAGGTTAATGTACTAGAGTTTGACCTCTGAATACAGGAGTTCAAATCTGGTTTGAATGATAAAACCACTATATCATTCAGCACAGATTACAGAAGAGGACAATGGCTGAGATATGAGAGTTTCAGAGTTACACATTGTAGTGCAGTCATTGGCCCAGATCTGTGAGGAAACGTACAGACCTTTCCTACTCTATTTTAGGCCTGTTTTCATTAGCAGTAAAATTATTCCAATAAGATAAAAAGTAGATAAATCACCCAGACCTACCACCATTCTATTTTTATTGGGTCAAATTCTGATCTTTGTTACACTAGTGTGACTCTGTAATAACTCCGGTAAGATCAACGGAGTTATATCAAGGATGACTGAGAGAAGAATTTGGCCTATTGTGTGCAGAATAGTCTTAAATTATTTCAGTATAACTAATAAGAATATAATTTTTTCACTAAAAACGGGAAGAAAACTATTAAACTGTTAAATATTTTCTAAAATGTAAAATGAACTCAATGATCAAAAAAGTGAAGGACTTATGGCACTAAATCTAGGCAGTTACAGTGTATAATGCTTTTAAGATTGTGCAAGCTTCTTCCACTGTGTACCTCTCTGTTGACTAGCAACACTCATGTCGCCCCAGTCCTGAATCTCTATTGTTCAAAGGTTAATGATTGTGTGAAATTGTACAGTGTTTTTAATATCATGATGTTGACAGACATATATTGAGGATTTAGATAAGGCCACCAGACTCATTTTCAGATGTAACCTCATTCATGTTTCCACATGAGAGAGACTAAAGTATAATATTCTTTGTCACTGAAGCCAGAGGTGGTTTTCTAAGCCTAGATTGTGCTGGAGTCTCAAACAGCTCCTGGTTCATAGCATGGCTGGACCCTGCCTCGCCCACAATATCTCCCCCCTCCTCCTTCCCACTGTTCATGGCAGGGGTGTCTGTCAGGGTTTCTCTAAGGTATCCAGGATGGTCTGCAGGGTGCTGGTGGTGTCTCCACCAAGTGTGTCATGCAACTCTTTGTAAAAATGGCAGGTCTGCAGCTCAGCACCAGATCAGGGCTTTCGCTTGATCTAAGGGAAAGAAAAAGAAGCAGCTTCACATGCAACAATTGTGGAATAAGATTCAATAATAATTTCCTCCTCATTTCCACTGGCCTCTGTATTTCCTCCAAGACCAAATGGAGAATGAGCAGATAGTTATAATTCCTCAGACCTCACTAGGGAAGAAAGGGCCATGTCAGATTCAACAGATATCTCTCAACTTCTCAGAAGCCAAAGCTTTTGATACAGTGACATCAAAACATTCAGCTAACTCTCTGAACTTGTCTAACTATAAAGGATGGTTGGGAAAGAAAGCAATGTTTTAAAACAGGAAATAATGAAAAGCACTTCTTATCAGTGAGAATATACCAAGGTAATGAAATTGGATGCTAACCATGTTATGTCTGGTAGACTTTCTAAATCAGAATTCATATCTTGGAGATTGGTGCCTAAAATTGATCCTCCATCAGCTTTCTGTAAAAAAAAAAACAAAACAAAAAACCTCCCCCGCCCCTCATTTCTCATAAAGGATTCACTGACCTTGCAGGAACTACTGTCCACACCTCTGACATGAAGTGTGGCACTTCTTCTAAACTCCTAACTGCTGCCATATATTCCTTCTGTGCTTCCAGAGAGATTATGATTAAGCTTATTGATTTTTAAAAAGTCTCCAGGCACAAGAATTTAAGGAGGATTTAAAAAGTACAAGATTTAATTTCTTTTGAAACAGAATTGGGATTTTTTGTTTGTTTTTAAGATGCATCAGTTGATATATTGTCTTTTCTATCTCAGAATCTGGATTTCAGGGTACTAGTATGAAGAATCCTTTATATTTAGTGGTGCCACTTCAAATTCATATCTTTCTTCTTTTCCCTCTAATTTCAAAAATTACTTGGCATTCTAACATAATTATGAGGTATAATCTTTATCGGATAGCAATAAAATATATAGAGCCTTGCAAATCTTCAGATATCCACTTTATATTTGCAGATATCTGCACCCGCGGATGCAGATGCAGTGTATTGTTTGCCATCTTTGCAGATCGCAGATCGGATGTGGATATAATTATTCAGATTCAGCTAATACCAGTGAAAGTTTACTTTGCTTTTATATCACGTTGTCAGTTCATCAGCGAAAATTGAAATCATCACTGTGTCACCTCTCTGCACTTCCTTGCCAGTTGCCTCCAGAAAAGATTCCAAACTCTGTATTTGAAAAGCCAATGAAGAAAGAAATTCAAAAGAAATTAAGTGCTGGTGCATACAGTTTGAAGGGAAATAGAAAGGCAAATCACCAATTTGGAATACGTTCAGATTACTTATTCATGAAAATGGAGATACTGTGGCTGGATGTGTCACATGTGTCGCATGCAAAAAAGTCTGTGCTTTTACTAGCCATAAAACCGGTACTTCAAACTTAATTAAACATAAATATAGTCTGGAATTGGGATCCAGTTTACTGAAGATATTCACCAAGAAATGTGTCATTATCAGACAAACATGAAGAGAACCGTGACTCAGGAATTGTTGAAGTTTGTAGCAACAAACATAAGACCTTTCAAGGTAGTCAGCGGTGAGGGATTCCTTGCATATTCTCAATCTTTGATTAACATGGGTGCCAAATGGATGCACATGAGCTAATACCACATACCACAACATTACCCTCGATCTGTGGACGGATGATTACAGAGAAGTTGCCTATCTGGGAGTAACTGTTCATTTCACAGACCCGCAACAGTTGGGAATGGTGGAGCAAGTGCTTTGTGTGACTCAGTTTGACAGCGGGAAACCAAACACTGCAGAGAACCTTTTATTCTGTTATGCTGTTATTCAAGCACTCAGAAGATTTGATATACACAGCATTACCAACCAGATGGTTTTCGTTATGGACCAGGGAGCAAATGTGGTGGCAGTCCTGAAGTCCTATGTGTGAATAAGCTACTCGGCGCACATTATAAATACTGTACTTGAGCACACTACCAAACCGGGAAACCAGAAAGAGGAAGCAGTAACCGAACTGGTCCACGCAAGCCAAAATCTCATTAATTACTTCAGGAGATCTGGACTTCAAAGCAGACTGCAGAAGTCTCTGAAAGGAGATGTTGAAACACGATGGAACAGCAAACTACTCATGTTTAAGATAATCGAGGAGCAGTAGGACAGAATATATGACATTTTGACAGAAGAGGGGTATACTCAGCTCATTGATAGCATTGACCACAACATGTCGAGCATCTTAATAGAATTCCTGCAGCCCTTCAAGGAAGCAGCATATACACAAGAGCAACCATCACAGCCCAGTCTCCAGTTGGTGCCAATTTGGTACAAAAGGCTGAAAAAGCATCCCCATTCTTCTGTCACTGATGAAGATAGTCTAAGTCAACTTAAATCCAAAGCATTGCATAATCTCATTGAAAAGTTTGAAATCAAGCCTATGCACAGAGTAGCGCTTTTCCTGCACCCACGAATGAAGAGGATGAAAGTTTTCACTGAAGAGGAGAGAGAGAAAATTTATCACAAGAAGCTTGTCTCATTGCAAGAGAAAAATATTCCTGCAATGAAACTTATCCTTCTTTCGTCAGCTACACAGACACCATCACCAAGAGAGACAAAATGGTCACATACCGAGTTTGAGGAATTGGATAGCGAGTGTGGAAATGACGATGATGAAGTGTCAAAGTATATCACCCTGAAACTGACAAAGAATGAAGATGAGCAACTGCTGGAGTGGTGGAGACAACACAAGCACAATTTTCCCCTTCTCAGTTGAGTTGCATGGTTTGTGCATTCCATTCCTGTATCCAGTGCACCTCCGAGAATCTCTGCTCAGTCTCTGCTTACACAATTAATGAGAATCATACTTCACGTAAGCCAGAAACTGTGGCTGATTTAATATTTTTACACAGTAGTATTTCAAAGAAAATCAATTGTCCCAAGGAAGACATT